CCAAGGGAGAGAATATTCTACCGACAGTAAAACCACAAAACGACTTAAAATAAGTTTGGAGCTGGAGTTTTATAAAACCACGCCAATTCTCTTAATCTCGATCACTCGACAGTCCAATGTGTGCAGTAACCATTTACAAATCTACTAATTTTTCGCGACTGTAAGAGTTTTGTTAAAATAAAAATATGTTCAACCTCTTATCGCGAATATAGTCTCAAATTACACGTCACGGAAATGAGTAAAACCTAACAGTTGCAAAACAAAGCAGATACACGAATAAGCAGACGATCGTTTATCACAGCGTCAATCCAGCCAGCTCGATCTAAACTGAATGACAGAGTTACCTCTACTGAACGAACAGATCGTGAAAGCAACGCGGCGCATGCGTGCACGGAGGCCTGGAATGTTGCCTTCTGAAGGATGGATAGATCTATTGGCAGTCTCAAAAACATTATAACGTACTGACTATTTAGAAGTTGGGTGTATTACTTCTCCAATAGTCCAAAGCAGTTGCAATTAGAATCAAGAGTTCTGAAAATAATTACCCGAATTTAGAAATAAGGCGAAACAGCCCTTCAGATGTGTAGGAATCTGTAAAAAGAGACCTTCGTTTGCATTTTGTTTTTTGTGAATGACCTGCAAAATTGACCCTCAGACAAATTTACGTGAAAGTATTTAAATGAAGTTTCGATTTGTATTATTTTGATGTAAGTTCAACTAATAAATTCGTTCACAATGCAAAAGTCTACAAAAATTACTTTTAAATACTTTTCTTTGTCTGTTGTTGTCATCAAGTAAGCTCACTGTATGACAGAACACAAAATCTGAAATGTCAATAATCCAATAATCACATACAAACTGCTAGAAAACGGGATCTTCCCCTCGTGATAAAGCAGAGAAGAAAGATCCACATGTCTTTATGCCAGTTGTAGAGAGACGCCAAAGTTTCAACTTCATCAGCATCACAAAAATGTTTTTGTTATGGCGATGAACACAATACCACGAGTTGATGTAGCTAGGGTGGAGGGGGATTTGAAAGAACAAGCAATGCATGGAGATGCTAATGTTGTGAGACGTATGGATGGTTCTGTATGACCCACATGGTACACATATAAGCAGATTTCTGCCTAAACACTGTGTTTTTATGCCCAGTCTATATGTATGTGACTTTAGACAGATTGAAATGCTTTCCTTTGACACTTTGATTCGCCTTAAGAATTAGCTCAGACTCGCAATTCTAATGATTCCTCCCAGGCTGTGTGTAGCTAATCCAGCCTCACCATATGTTCGGTATGTCGCAAGGCAACAAGGTAACAAGAGACCTCACATATTAGGCTCGCGAAAGTTGTGATTGTAAAACTGGACTCATTCAAAATGTGGCTAAAGCTCTGACCAGATGGACTGAATGGCACTAACTTTACATTGCAATACATAGATTATCATATCAACCTTTTGATTTTTCGTTCACTCTTAGACATCAAAGACCGGGGATTGCCTAGCCTTGGGTAGCGAGGACTTTCAGATGGATCGCGATGTGAAATTCAAACCTTAAACATTTTATACCACTGTTAATTTAGTCACGTAAATGTTGTCCTTTTTTTTTTTGGTTATTCTTACACTCGTAAATGTAACTCTACTCACACAAGTCAATAAAATAAATTAATGTAATATAAGAAATTATAAAATATTGTTTATAATTTGGAACTAATTCAAAAACTATGGGTCGTCAGGCAGAAGAATTTTGAGAGGCTAATCGTAGACTCATCTAGTCAAGAAATTCACTGCCCTTTTTGGAACACGAAGTTTCGTGACCGTGTTGACAAGATTACGCCACCGGTCTCCATCCTGAGCCAGTTCAATCCAATCCGCAGCCCCAAACATAATTTTTCTAAGATTAATTTCAATATTATCCTTTTCCCGAGTAGTCTATTCATTCTGGCTTTCCTACGCATTTCCCATCTGCCCATGCGTGCTACATGCCCGCCCATCTCATGAACCTTGATTTGAAATGAAAATATGGAGATACTCACCATTCAGTTTTCTGCAGCCTGCCTTCCGCACCGAAACAGATTGTGAATTGTTTTTAGTGTTTGGGTTAACGTATACCGCGTGACGAGAAGAACTAGGGGATGTCTCGTCCGTCTTCCTCAGCCTCTCCATCAGCATCAAACACGACGAAATTCTTTCTCAGAGCTTCGTTCACAGACATTTAATTTGACGGTGTAAAACCTAAACAGTTGATGTTGTATCATGAAATAACCAGGAAAATAAAACTGGATTATGTATATTCCCTGGTCTTTCTTTGCTTATCGTCAATTCCATTATCAGAGACATGGCGTGTCCATTAAGAATTATGCAATAAAGGGGAGTTTATTGTCGTATTGATTCAATTATTCCCACGTGTCAACCGAGATGAAGGCTTCATAGGAACGCTGGGAGTGCCCTTCGTTCCAGACAGCCTACGCAGATGAAATCTCACTAAAACTTATGATATCGACTTCTTTTAGGATCTGCGCAAAATAACAATTTTATAGTCTCAATGTCTGATAATATCGACAGTACTATTTAACGACGCCTATTACAGCGTGGTTTAGGACGTATAAAATTTAAAGACGAATTATCAGACACACGGTTGGCTAAGGACGTATGGATAGACAAGCCTTTGCAATGGACCGATAGTCGATCCAAAGCGTCTTATCAAATGTCTCGCGGCTGTTTCTTTGATTAATTCTGAAGTGGTCTCGGGTTCGATTCCCGGCGGTGCCCGAATTTATAACTTGTGTTGGGCAAGGCCGTGGTCTAGGCAACACGGAGTTTTCCTCCGTGGCATCCCAACAATTACTCCATTCACACACAGAAGAAGGCAATGGCAAACCACTTCTGGATCATCTGCCAAGAACGTATATGAACAGGTCCCAGTCCGAGAAAAGGATGGAAGGATCCTGTTCATATGGACCTGTCGTCAGACAGAACACTAAATAAATAAATAAATTCACAATTACATAACCTGGCTTCTGATTAGCATAAAAATGCCAAGAATCACGATCGCTCTGATGACGGAGGCAGCAAGGACCTCCGAAACGTCGGTAAACTTCTACCAGACTACACAGCGCAATAACAAGCCATTTTCAGATTTACCGACGTGTAAACCACAAATCCTATGTAAAATGAAGTTACTAACAGGTGCAGTGTCGACTAGGCTTTAAATGGTTAATCATTTTTGTGCATGTGAGTCATTTAAAGCTGAGGCACCATTAGGGCAGCCTTGACAACGTTAGAATGCAAATGAGGCATCGATCTGCTGAACATGATTTTGAATGCCTGCGGTCCGTACGTCAGTAGATCACAAACTGCCTTGAACTTGTCACGGACTGGCTCTGTGATCTGCAGGTATGAAGTTTGCTGTAGCAACCTTCAGTCTCCAGCGTAATCTCTTCTCTGTCTTTCAGACATTCAGAAATTTGAGGTTATGAAGATTCTCTGAGGCGAACTTGAGTCTAGATCTATGGAAAAAGAGTTCTTACTGAGAAGCTAATAGTACGCTCAGGCAGTCAATATCAGTATCTAAAGCAGTGGTATTCAACCTGGGGTACGCGTACCCCCGGGGGTACGCGAAGACATCTTAGGGGGTACGTGAAATTT